CAGAAGATAACAAACAATCAAAGTGCCGATACTACTTCACCGTTATTGCATTACGCGCGGAAAATCGTTTGAAGATTTCTCTTTAAAACGAAACACCACACTGACGGCGAAAAGTGGCTATTATTCGGAGTTATTCGAAAATCAGCCGAAAAGATATTCGAATACTTTGATATTCGATTCGTTTTGGACAACCCTGATTCACACAGAAAACGACAATTTACTGGAAGTAGTTTTGGAAAAAAAAAATTTTTTGTTTTTAAGTTGACCAATTTATGAATACACCTCAAGCTAGCAAAAATACTTGAAAAAAAAACACCTCAGGGATTAAATGAAACGCAAAGTACATGAAGAAGGTGGCATTTTTGAAGAAAAATAGGAAATGCAATATTTCTCAAAATTCTAAAGCACATTGTTTAGTTTGTCACATTTCCACCAATACAATGAAAGAATACAATATGACAAATTTAAAAATCAACTTCGAACAGAAAATTTTTATGTGTTTGTATACAGTATTATTATAATTACACAACTACCTAGTTACTAAATTAACTCAAGCGGTCCTATGCCACGTAATAGTAGGAAATGTGGCGGGAAATGTCTGGTCCGAAAATTCGGCCATTTGTGTGTTTACTGATCTATATATGAAATGATAAACGTAATATTTTTGCTTTACTGAAATTAATCTAACATTATCGACGATCCAAATTAACCGATGATCATGTGACCTCGTTAATTAGAGTTGTTACTGTAAAATCATTTTAGCCTGATATTAGTAAGCTGGTGGCACAAAAGAGATGCCAAACGTCAGGACATATATGTAATAAAAAAAACATTGAGTTTATTCTGTAGTATTTTTGTAAATTTTTCGGTCTATTTAGATTAAGTCATTTTTAGTGTATGTTTTAATCTTTCCTTATCAAAACTTTGTTCAAAAATTTTTGGATGGTTGATAAAAATTTATGATTTTTGGGAATAAATACAGCAATATTGAATGAAATGCAAAAATTATTATGTAAATGACATTTGAAATTTAAGAAAATAGCAAAACTTTATTCGGCTGTTTAATTACATCATGTGTGTCACAATGTGTGTGTCAATATGTGTCGCAAACTATACCTATCTGAAAATATGTATACGTTATCAAAATATATCAAACACTGTTTGCGACTCTTTGCACAATCCCAAAATGCAATGCGGCCCTCGAAAGCCCACGAGTTTGACACCCCTGATTTACGTCGCATGAACCAAGGGTGTGCTACCTGCGGCCACGAAGAAAAGGTTTTTAATTTAATCTGGTTCACTATACCAGAGTCCAATTTATTACCTATGTCTATGATGTTGCAATGCCCTGACAAGCTATATTGTGCGAGACGAACAACAGATGTCACGCGTGCAACTACTAGAAAGCCTATGTTAAATAAATGTGGTAAATAAGCTTTCGAAATAAACTATCTATCTAAAAAGGTTAACTTACCTGGGTTGGCAGATTCGAATTGCTAGGCTCCTCGCACCGTTGTGGACCGCGAAATATATGCGCTTTCGTTATTTGTAAGACAAAAAATAGAAAAGAAAACAACTTCAGAACTTTTTCTTGCCTCTCGGAGGAGTTCTGGTCTAAATGAAATACTCATTTTCTCGTATGCTAAATAAAGCAACTGTTCCAGGCGAAGTTTAATAAGTTTTATTACTAAAAGATCATGCCAATACACAACGACTTATTTCAAGAGTAGCTTCAAATATGCTACAGAGAAAATCCCATCAAAGGCGTTTAACGTTGAGTTATGATAAAACAACGCCCGTCAAGTATGTGTTTATTTCAGGTTGGTAAAACGCGATACTCCTTAATATACAGGTCTGCCATAACGTTCTTATTTCTAAAGATTGGTACTTATTTTGAAAGTTCTTGTATTAGAAAATATTGTCCTTATTTCTAAGAAATGTCTTTATATTGAGATGTGTCTATATTTTATGGGTAGAGGTTCTTATACCAGGCACTTAGATTGGTCAATTCGAAGGATTGATTTGCTCGAAATGCTATTTCCAATGCTACCCGCATTACATAATAATTATCAAATTAATTGACACAATGACAATAGATACCGGCCAAAATCATTTCGTGTAACTTTAATCAAGTTATACCTTAAAAGTGAGATGGAACAGATTGTCCCTAGGAACAAGAGAGCTATGCTCGAATATACGGACAAGTCACAAGGTGCCGCTATTTTTTTTATTCTGACACACGAAAAGCAAATTTCTTGAAGTCCACAGGAATTTTTAAAATAAGTGAAAGTAATAGCCTACTGGTAAAAAAATCAATCTTTAACCACTGAAAATATCGAAGCAATTGGTCCAGTAATCAAAGAGAAAAGTAGTTTTTAATATCGTCAGAACAACCAGAAGAAGAAGGGTGCCAGCATAATAATGCAAAACGATCGTTACGGTATGTCCAGTGATGTGTCCAATAAAGAATTGCTGGAGCAAATCCTTTATAGTGAAAAGTATAATTAGACACGGGTCGCACTGGCATTATTACATTCTGTTTATTACATTACGTTCTTTGTCATTTCATTATCGTGTTTTTCTGATCCCGATGTCATTATGTTTATATAACAGTGAATATTGGGTGCAGCTGACTCTGATCATAAAATTGTTTTTGGTTCTCGAATCATTAAATAAGGTAAGATTTACTAATTAATCCCGGGGGAGAGGAAAGCTGATAAGACAGCTTAAACATGTGACGAACCACGGCCTCTCGTCCAGTTACGAGTTTATGTCGAATATGGGGTCGGTTATTTTTTTCCAGAGGCATGGACTTGATGATGGAGAAAATTTAAAACACACGATATGAGGAGCCGGTGAATTATTTGCGAAAGAACAAACAATGTACATTTTTATAACAAGATGGCGAATGGGTGGAAAATACACTATCTAAAAAGGCGATCTAGGTGGCGCATTGCCAAATGAACGTTATGCGGGAATCGACCGCAGAGCAACGTTACAACGCTGCAAGCGGTTCTGGGTAGGATGGGATTTACATATTTATCCCGGGGGAGTGAAATGAATCAAATAATTCGTATCAAATAATGCCTAACAAGAATATAATGTGAAATTTTAATGTACCAGTAATTAAAAAAGTCTGTAGCCTATAACACACAAGAATGTGATGTGAAAATTTTATTGTAATTAAAAAAAGTCGTATAGCGCAGAAAGAAATTCTTGAAACACACGTTTAGTTCAAATTAAACTCACTCAATTTTCAACTAAGCAGGTATGTCCGTGTCTTACTATATACTGAATAGAGTGCGAAACAGCGCAGAAGAGAGGGAAACATTATTCTTTAATTATTTCTGTATTTATTAGCGTCCATGAAATTTTAAACAATTTGATGGGATACAGTGGTAGGGAATGATCACAAGTTAATATCAGTAATCTTCAACATCTTTAAATAACCCGACATGACGCACCCGGCGTCATTAAAGATATTGAAGATTACTGATATAAACTAGTGATCATTCCTACAACTGTATACTGTTTCCCATCAAATTGTTTAAAATTTCACGGACGCTAATAAATAAAGGAAAAAAAATATTTCCCTCTCTTCTGCGCTGTTTCGCGCTAAATTCAGTAAGTAGTAAGACCGGGTATGTCCCATTGCGTTCGCGCCAAAAGGACTTTTATTTAAAACACTGAAAATATGGGGTCGTTTGGTGTTATTTCAGTATTTAAGCACTTACGGCATTAATTTTCACATCACATTTGTGTTAGGCGTTATTTAAGCAGTTTCGACGTTTAGTCTATTTCCGTACTTCACGAGACCTGTTGAAGAACATACACAAAACCATGAAGAAGATTGGGAAAGTCAGAAGGTGGCAAAACCTCTAAAAAGGCTTAAAACTTGTTGAATTGCAAGTGTCAGTTCACCCATCCGATCAAGGACATGCAAGTCAGCAATTGGGTTCCAGGTTTTTAGGCTGTGAACTGTTGCAGTATCTTAAATTCTTTATAATCAACCAGTTTCAAATGTTGGACTGTTCAATTTGTAATTTATTGAAGGTGCATCATTTCTTTAAATCGAATTTTTCTTTTGTCAGTTTCTATTGCTATACATGCAGACTCGGGACTTTGTCTATTTTCTTTAAGTGTGCATTTCTGATCTTCAAAGAACAGATTCACTTTCAAATTTTGAATTATCTGGTTGATGGCACCAACATCTGTGGACAAGGAAGGAGTGTGGGGAAAACGAACATCAACGTTGGATTGGTGTGAAGAAAACTACGTTGTCACTCCTTACATTGCAGAATTCTGTGAGTTTTGGGAATTTTGTGATATCTCTGAATTACTGATTTTTCTATGGAAAATTTTTCTTAAATTTTGTATTTTTATACACAGGGAACACCATTAGTAACATTGTTATGATAGTTCCTCCTGCTGTATGTGCATACTACTTCTGGAAAAAGGGACTCGAATTGCGTCATATACTTTCTGGAATTTCTTTGTTAGGTAAGGGTTGATCATGATGTTGATGTTTGATAATTATATGGCAAAATTATAGAAAATATTGTAATATATTATAGTATTGTAAAATATTCCCCATATCTGGGAGTTGTGTCGGGTATGGTCGTTTACGTTATATGTTTACTAACAATCGCAAAATTATATTTTTAGATTACGGTACATTTTTTATATTCACTTTAATTCTAAGATGCCCCCAATGTCAAATTTCTAGGAAAGAACATACAATGCAACACACTGCATGTTTGAAAATAGCAGGCTTTGACTAACTTTATTGCTTAAATTTAAGAATACTATTTTTTGCAATTTTAATGTAGTATTAGGCTATGCAAATACATGATGATATTTACAATTAAACAGAATATTTGTATGGGGACATCAAGGTTTTATGCTATTAAATCTTCAGTTGAATATATCTGGTAATAATAAAACAATGCTTCTTAAAAGCAAATAATATTATTGATATCTGATATATTTCCATTATAGTTGTTGGTGTCGGATCATGGTGTTTTCATATGACTCTGCTATATGAAATGCAAGTAAGTCAATTCTAATTCAGTTTGATAGGATATCCAAATTAATGTTTTATCTGTATATATTATATTTATTTTTGTGATATCAAAGTGCTATAATTTGTAAGTTTTATGCTTTTTTCACTGAAATTCACACTGAAAATATATCCCCAGACACCCGACCATCTTAAAATATTTTATCTGCAATGGTATGTACTCTTGTTCAGGCTCTGTAGTGATCCAATAAAAGGAATACATATTATATAAATTGACAAAACCAGACTTCAAAAACCAAACAGTATAAAAGAAAATTATGCCGCCCAAACCAGTTCCAGGAAGGGGGAGAGGGGATAGAGGAAGAGGTGGTAATCCAACAAGAGGTAGAGGAGGTATTCAAGGCCGACAGTCTAAAATGAGACAGAGCAACCAACTTTTAAATCCTAAGACTTCAACTATGCAGAGAGGAATAGTTCAGAGAGATCAAGCAGGAACATCTCGTGGTAAACTTATCGGAGGTGTTTTAACCGTAATCGTAGTTTTAGGAGGAATAGGCGCCGGAGTGTTCATGAGTACAGGTGCTTCTGATGAATCTGCTAACTCTGATTTAACAATAAATCCAACGAAGGCTTCTACTACAACTACAGCTGTTCCGAAGGTTACCACAACTACAACACCGCCACCACCTGTGGTGTTAGATGAGAAATGGATCAAAGCCCGAGGGGAATGTGGGAGACCGAGACAAAAACCAAATCTCGGCAGAATTGTCGGTGGAACAGAAGCTGTCAAACATTCATGGCCATGGCAAATAGGACTTCTACAGTGAGTTAATTTTTTAATTGGATTTCATTACATACAACATTATTATAATCATGTTCTATTTGTTGTATATAATGTGAAGGGCTATTGAATTATTGCCTAAAATTTTAAAACCTTAAGCAACATCTTTTAATATTTCAATGAAGTGAAAGCTTAACTGATTTCCATTTTGTTAATTCGAATCTATCCAAAGTTCATATCATAGATTAACAAAATTGACAGAAAATACCATAAACACACATCTGTACCTCGCACACAATTGCTGATGAATATGGCTTTCTTTGCTTTCAAGTACACACTTCGAGAAATAACAATGACTTTGGATATCTTAAGTTATCCACAAGGATGTACTTGTTTTAAACATGGAAGAAGAATAGGTATAATTCATAATTGCTTTGTGAAACATGCTATTGGTATTTATAATTTTTATTAGGAGCACTGGTGAAATATATTTGGGGATAAATTGATAACAGAAATCAAAAAGTATTTTTCAACAGTAATAAAAGGCCTTTTTGTCAACGAGTTATTACAAAAAAGGACAGGAAATGTTCCAAATGGAATCATGTGGAAAATTTTATTGGCGAAGGGCACCCAACTCTTCCCATGCATTTGTACACTTTTATAGATAAGTTGCTGAGTGGAAATTAGTGATTTTGATTTAAACTACGGTATTTCCTGATCTTTTCATACAAGATTTTGGCTTCTCAATTACAATTATGATAGTCTCGACTCTCGAAGTTGACATTTTTAACAATTGAAGCCAGCCATATGGCCAGATTTGGTAATAGACAATAATGGGGCTTGCTTTGCAGGCAATATTTAAGCGGAAATAATATCTCATAGAACAGTGGTTCTTAAACTTTTTCGAGCGCGACCCAAATCTGAGTTTTATGAATACTCGCGACCCAATCCTAAATAACGCAAAATGTGATTTTAATGTTAGTACAGTTTGACTCAGATACAGACAACTATTTATTAGAAACAGTCCATTGACTCAGTGAGATTGATGGAACTGAAATTTCCTTTTCATTATATCTTCAATACACAGCTCTATTTTACTTAACGCAATACGCAAGTTGTCACGGGTATCGAGGCGATTGCGAGCTTAGTTTTGATAACCGTCAGTGCCAAATATCCTCGCTCGCACAAGTGCCTTGTCGCGAATTGTAGCAGGAAAGGCGTCCGCTGTCCGTCGCAAACACGACATCCTGGCTGGCCTTCGGTATCTCTCGTAATATACAACTTTTTACTCATCAAATGTGCACACACTGCTTCGTTCGCGCTAAATGGTGCCTCGAGATGAAGTCACATTTTCTCTAGATATTGAATAATCTAATGTCGAGAAGCGAGCTTTTGCATTGCGTCGTCTATTACAATTTACATTACCAAAAAGACACCCATTTATGGTTATTTTAATCCACTAAGACGACATTCCACGCGGTCAACACAACGACAAGCGACGTGCATGGTTATTGGATACCGATACCATAAAAATAATACACGTGACTGGCATATAAGAATTGTGATGTAACAATGAGCTCAAGACAGTTCTTTCCGTGAATGAAATTTTATATTTCATTATTTGTAAATACCATAGTTTAGAAGCTAAATTGAAACATTGGGAAAGCTGAAAATTCTTCCTTCTCCTCTTAGATTGCCTTTGCATTGACGACCTTGTCGCGACCCATTTTTAAACCTTCCGCGACCCATGTTTGGGTCGCGACCCATACTTTAAGAACCACTGTCATAGAAGAACAAAAATAAAACAAAAGACATCAAGGTTCTGCAGTTGTAATCTAGAGTCAAATTTTTTAATATTTATGGATGAATAAAATTTTAAGAGCTGAATTTCATATATCTCAAACCCCTGATGTTTATGTAATTCTTGATTTGAGCTTCAGGCAGAATGTGAAATTTTGAAACGAACTCGCATCATGTGGCAATGGCCTGTAATTGTTTATACAAGTCTTTAAATATTTACTATCTTATATTATGAAGTATTTCAACCTTCGGTCTCTGTAATCTTTTAGCTTATAGCGATTTTTATCATCCACAGTTTCTGTGAAAAATAGTGCTAAAGAAAGACGTTAATAATCACTATGATATTCTGTTAATTTCATTTCCTAGTATTCTCAATGTGACTGTCAGTCTCCTGTTTGGATTTGTCATTAAGAAAGCATGACCTGACCATGGGCAAGCATAAAGGTCATTAGGTTGACCATAAACCTTTTATATGATAATTGAAAATTGTTGTGATTGATTGCTTGCCGTCAGGGATTTGTTTGTAATTATCACTATGATTATCACATATCAATAAAACACTAGAATTGACCGGTCGAGAGGCCATGGTACAAATATGATTTAGCCATCTAATCGGCTTTTCTCGCTCCCAGGATAAATATGAAATTTTGAAAATCTATCCCATGATTCCTATGGCACAATCCACCTACAGCAAGAGAAATTCTACTTCAAGTAATCCAGTTGAGATGGCAAAAACCAGTTCATCTGGTGTTAGGTGGTCCACGATCATAACCGTAGTTCCAAACTAATATTCCTGTTCTCCGTAATTAGATATTAGAGCCTTAGGTGTCGCTGCTCGATAACCATATTTACCGTAGATCCCGCAGCTTTCCTTCTCTAGTTTAAATATATGCTTATCTTTTTTTTTCATAATTTGTCTATGATTGCTTTTTTACTGGTTGGAAAAATTTAATTCGGCTAGCATCCTCATTCATGATTTTCGTTTAAAAAATATAAAATATAAATACACCAGGTAAAATGAATCCTAATTTAGATACAAGCGATATGATGCAAATACAGCTTCCGTAAAAGCCATCTGTGGAGGAAGTCTTGTCGGTCCGAAATATGTTATATCAGCATCACATTGTTTTCTGAATAAAAAACGAACAAGTGTGAGCAAAGATAAAGATCGCTATAGAGTTTTGGTTGGTGCTCATGACAAAGGCAGAGAAAGTCATGGAGCAAAGTATGTATTATTACTATTATACAATGGCTTTTAATATCTGGTTATTTCGTGGAATGTCCAAAATGTCAGTATCGTTGAATCTATTTGAAACTGGTTATATGCAAAATAGTAGATTTAGTGGCTGTTTTTCTAGGCCAGTAGTTTTCAAACTTTTTTCATCCTGCCACACATGACACAGGCTTGACGTTTGACAGGTAATTTGCGAGGAGGAGCTAATCTTGTCAACCTGAAATCTAAATCTGAGTCGGAATTTTAAATTTAACTCATACATGGCATATTCTGTATGAACAATGCAACTAACCTATTATTTTTATTTCTTGCTAATGCAGAATGCTTGAGATAGAATCACTGCATCACCATCCAGATAATAACATGGCAACATTCACAAGATTAAAGCAAATACCAGCTCATGATATTACAGTTATAATCTTAAAAACAATTGTGGATCCAAATGATATTTCACCCATGACAGGGTTTGTGTGTTTACCTCAACCCAAACTGAGGCCTCATGTCGGCAAGAAGTATGTGCTTTTATTCTAATTATATAATTGCTTAAATTTATTTTTACATGGTAATGCTATATTCATTATTTGTCTGTGGACTTCAAAGTCTGAACCGGAGAGATTCTGGCCCTTCCAAGAGTAGATGCTCATATATCTGTACAGAGCCTTACGCCTCCGAGTAAAAGTCTTAAACATGTATAAAAATGACAATATTGCAACAACCACTCATTAGTCATTACCATGGTGAAATGCTTGTTTTGGCAACTGAAAGTCTTTTTACTAAGAGAAAATAAAATCTTACCCTGCGCCCCATGTACTCTGGATATTTCTAAAATGCTTTTTAATGTCACTGCCATACATTTTTCAATTACAGTTGCTGGGCGACCGGATGGGGATTAACCAGTGGCACAGGATTTGATAAAGTTTTAAAACAAGTCAAGCAACCTGTCACATCACAATCAAATTGCATCAAAAAATATGGAGGCAGAAAAATAAATTATGATGTTCATGTATGTGCAGGACCTCACAAAGGCAATCAGGGAACGTGCCAGGGGGACAGCGGTGGGCCTTTAGTATGTCAATATGAGGACGGTGCATGGGTTTTACACGGAGACACCAGTTTTGGTCCAAAACCCTGTGGATCTTCACCTGGAGTATGGGCCCAGGTTTCTTATCATATGGATTTTGTCTGCTGTGTCTTGAGAGATTATGGCCCTTGTAAAAATATGAAATGTGAGATGCAGTGAAGGCTACGCAATATGCACTATCGAATATAGTCGTAGCTTTAGAAATGAATAAACAGGGGTATTGATTTTAGAACAAGATATCAGCTGTTTTGCACCAGGGTGTTTTACTACAATGACTTAGGTATGGAACAATGAATTTAGCAAACTCATGTATCGAGTAACAGAAGCAGATTGACAGCAGATAAACAGCACATTTGGCCATATACCCTTTCGCTTGCTAATACTATATTTTCCCTAGTATTTCACCTGCATTGCATGTATATTTTTCTCAATTTTGGTCTTTAAAGCTTTGGTCTTTGTGACTTTTTGAGGTATTTTAATACCTGTATCTCAATTGAATATCTCTGAAGTCTTTCTATGAAAATGCATATAGTATTATTCCAAGCAATATTACGGAATACAGTGAACATATGTGCTATTCTGAATTTTACTATTTTCAAATGTTAAATTTACTTGATCGTTATCATATTTCGGGAAGCACGATTCAGAATGTCTTTGGTTAAATATAAATCATTTTTATATGGATTCATTCAATATTTATTGATGAATATATAAACGGCATTTTTTGTTTGTCATACCATCTCGTATTTTATTTTGAGAATTGACAAGTATTTTAGTATGATTGTCAAAGAATATTCATTAAATCATTTCCTCTTATAAAAATTTTATATACCAATAAGTATCACCGAATATATTATTTTGAAAAACAATTATCACAAATATTTTGTCATTAACCCAGTACTATTCAGTCAAATTTTTCAGATTGTTCTCTCATATTTCTACTGGCCTTGTTATGTTCTAAATTCTAGAAGATTAAAATGTAGTTTTACTTATTTCATTAATGTGTATTTTAGTTACTGGATGAACTGCCTATGATCTACGGTTCCTGCGTTTTTCTTTATGCTTTGTGAGTATATCGGTTTGTTGGAATGTATATGAGAAAGCATGTAAATTTTTTATGTCTTGCAATAAATTTTACAGTGTGAGGTGGAATTTGTATCTCTTGTAGCTACCACATTATTCATACAACTCATGTTTAGAAATGTGTTACTGAAATCCTTATGGATACGTTACTTTCTGTTGTTGTAACTGATTTATCACTGCTTGCCTCGCCTTGAATGTGCATGTATGATGCTTTGGTGAAGTGTTTTGTGGTACATTTGGTTATCGCCTCGAGCTATCTTGCTCGGTTTATGGTGAGAAGTGCGCAAACCAGGAAAATATTATCCATTCCTCTCCCATCTCTTCCATGCATATCTGTAACTTTAGAGATTATACCATTTTGAAAGCATATTGGTATAGATGAAAGATTGGTACATGATAAGATGTGCATAAACCTCTGCATGTGTGAATCTTTTTGAACATTGCTTCATTCGCAATGAGCTTCCTGCTATGTAATTTAGCTGCTTTCAAGTCTGCTCAATAATTTTATGTTCTCTTTCACTCACTTTCCATCGTTTAGTTAGAGCGTCTGTATCAAATTTCAACCATGTTGTGCACGCGCTTAATTTCAGTTACAAAAATTTGGTTGACTTGTAGTATGTCTTTTTGGATTGCTATAAAATTACGCCTCTGTGCTGCCTGTATGATGACCTAGCCCTTTTTAGAGTGGCCAAATTAGGAACCATATTATAGGCATTTCTATTTTTAAATGAAATAATATTAATTCTCTAGTTCAAGGGTTCCCAAAGTTGATTGACCGAAGGTCAAATTTCGAAGCAGAAGGATATTTGTGGGACAGAAAAGGGGATCGGCAATTTTGAATTTGAAAAATAGACACTAAAATAAGCTGCAAGCTTGATTTTAGATTCACCTAGCATCGCAGTTTGTTATGTTATGAAATTAATAATTAGGTGATAGAATACCCGAGGAATAACAAGCACGACTTTCTTTTTTTGAACATGTTTGTTTGACTTTTGTATGAATTCAGCAATGATTTAAATTTTGAAATATGCGCTTCTGATCATAATCGGAGAATGCTTCGTCTCATGATGGCGCCTAGGTGCCTAATGTTATATTCCTTCAGAACTGGAGTATTTTGTTGGCAAGGGAGACAAATCGCTAAGTTTGATTTTATTCAACGAGGAAGTAAGAACACTTCCATTCATCCAAAAAAATGCCTGTTTTCAGTGTCTAGTTTTCGTTTTGTGAAATCTTCAAGCAATCTTATTATATGGCTGATACTTAAAATACTGCCGTATGTAATCCGAATACCAGTATAATTGAATTGTTACGAGTATACACAGGCTTAAACTATGATAATGATGTAACAATTGGCAGTATCTAAAACGTAAAATGGGAAACACAGAAAGTGTTAAACGTATTAGTATTAATTACGAGTGAAGTTTAACCATTAAACTATTTCACTTGAGTTTTGCGGGCCATTTTAAATCATTACGCAGGTCGTAATTGGCCTGCGGGCCGCGGTTTGGGAACCCCTGCCCTAGTTGCATTACTTGTGTGATTTGAGATGCTCAAAATCATCACGAAAATGACAAAAGAATATTAAACAGATTTAATTTTATGACTTAGCATGCTACACTTTGTGCCCATGAATCTTAAGGCATCATCTATGCCATATTTTCAGGAATCACCATGCACACAAACCAAATCACCGAGACTACACATATGTATTTGCACTGATTTTAACATGTATTTTTGTTACCATTGTCTACCTCTACTGGAAAAATCCAATGTTTCACGAGGTTCGTACTCGCGTCTCTAGTGATGTGTTTGTGTATAAAGATGATTTATCTTTTATATGATGATATAATATACATTGAAAAAAATAGAAATTATTGGCCACCATTGCTAACATCAATAAAATATAATTTCCGAATTGAAATTTTGCCCAGTTTTTTTCTACCCCCAACATTTGCTTGAAACAGTCTTTACCTCCTAGATGGTGCTATTGTGTCTGTGCATGAAATGTGCAGGACTATTGTATTCAAAGCTGGCAACTTGAGCCATATGCTATTTCCAAGGTGGTCAGATATCTTTTCTTACGAAACATACATATGTATATATTTAATAATTTATATATATGTACTTAGTTGCTGCACATTTATATTATTGCTGCATGTGATAAGGTTTTCTACTCTTGAAGTTCTGAGTTCATTTTCATTATGCTTCACTTTTTACATGCGTATTAATGCCAATTAAATGCAAATGATCTTGTGCGGCATGATTTTCACAATATTATTCATCAGGATGGAGCAAATCCTCAAAAATGCTGGCCTAGCGGTGATCATTAAATTAAACAATTTGATATAATATTTTGGAGATGATTCATCATGTGTCATGAATTAGGAATACAGAATGACCTTTACTGTTATTAATTTATTGTAAATTCTCTCATGGAGAGCTGTTGCTGATTGAACATTTTTAGTAGTGAAAACAAACGTTTCATAGGAATATTTAACATCTAAACCCTGTTATAAAAATAGATTTTATGATGAAATGACCTTTCCTGCAGAACATTGCCATAGTTACTATGTAAATTCCTTTCAAGTTGTGGTAATGTAGGAACTGCGGATGGTACTTACGCTGGTTCGTTCTGGTGGCATGACTCAATAAGGATTTTGTTTCAAATATTTTGTTATTTTAGTCTAGTTATGGATTCTTAGTATTCTACCTCCTCTATGAAGCACTCAAGGCATGCAAAAACCATCCAGAAATCATACCTTGGGCTGGAGTTTCCCTTGTTATCTATGCATCTGGCTTTGTACTGTGGAATATAGACAACAACTTCTGCTCTTCGTTGAGGTGAGACGAGTGGAGTTGACGACTGGGAAGATTTTCTCTCAAAATTGATTATTTCTGGTGCAATTTGGTCCCAGGACAGTAGTTGATCAAAAGTGGAAGTCACATTGGCTTTATTTTGATTATATTACTTTAGTGCATTTCAATTTATTTTTAGCTCTGACTATGATTTTCAATCTTTTATGGTCCATGGAACACTTTAGTTCATAAATTGCCTGCGGAACACCAAATCAAAATTCAGATTTTTTAGAAATAAAAGATCCGATTAACTATAAATTTCTCATCTATTTTGGCATGGGAATAATATAGTGAAAATACCAATAGATTATGACTCAAATTTGATGCGGGAAACCTGAAAATCGCTTACAGAACACCAATGTTCCACAGTGTAACGGTTGACAATCACTGATTTATGATAATGTGCTCGAACGTTCTATGTGTCGGCTACAGCATACATCCCGTTCAGATACAGTATTGTATATAAAACTTACATTGCTTTAAGAAGGGTGAAACAATAAAAAAAATTGTATGACCAGGGGGTAATAATTTCTGTTTTCCTTACAGACATACTAGAAAAAATCATCTGCACCCTGCAGTTGGACCTGTTACCCAACTTCATGCATGGTGGCATTTACTTACTGGCACTGGCACCTATCTACACATTTTGGTTTCGGCATATGCCAGGACTTTGCATCTCAAGAGAGAAAGTTCAATAAAGGTAACAAACATTTCAGTGAAAATGACAATTATAAACGAAACAAAATTCAGATAGACAAGAGTATCAAAGTTCAGTATTTATATAAAATACATGCAATAAACTAGCCCTTCGTTAAAATCAGTCATAGAGCAAATTCAGAGTTTGTAAGTATATACATTAGTACAATACATATGGCTTATATCTGATGCGATATGCATGTGACTTATCAATGCTTATTTTCTAATTGAAATTCATAATCTCTCGAAGTATTTATTTTGGTTCCGGGTATAGTGGCCAACAGACTCTGTGCATGCCAAACGCATTGCTCCAACTCCTTCATTGTATTGTTAACTATTATTCTGGTGTGTTAATTTCTCCATAATCATTTAATAATAGTGGATGTTATATCTTTCAGCTGCTTGGGGGAGTGTGGCCTTATTTACATCTGGGAGAAAAGGTTTAATGAGAATACACAACATGCACTGTGCCTGTCAACAGAAGCAAATTTGGTGTTTTAATTGTAGCAAAATCATTTAGATTTCGAAAATTATATTTAGGTAATTATAGTTATTTGTGGTGTTTTTATATATAGCTCTGTGTGTAATTTTATTTTCAATTCTTGATTTAATTTGAATCTTTTAACCAAAGAAATATAATAAATGGCGAACATGGTACTAAGTTAACAACTTGGTCTGATAAACTCAATTTTGGGACAGTTGGTTCAGGATGATTGATGTTTGTAGCATATACTCTGCAGTCTATTTAGAGTTCCTCGCTGTTCAGGTAATAGCTCTCAATTTTGTTTGTGGGATGCTGGAAACAAGTCACGACTCGTACAGTCAAAAACCACTTGCAATGAAAGTGGGAATGTGATCAGCTCAATATAATTGACATACGTCCCAATTAAACCGATTGAAATTTCAAATTCATTTGAAAAGCTAGCATGAAGGCTCGAGAAATTTTTTTAGCTGGAATGCTAATAGCCTTTGCATGAACATATATTTTAAAAATGATTTATCACTAGGTTGTATATGTGAAAAAATTTCTATAGCTGGATTGATCGTGAAACTGTCGATATACCACCTGGAAAGAAACAAATTGTGTGAGGCCATTTGAACTTGCTCTAATCAGGAAACCTAGTAAAGTTTGTCTTTCATTCCCCAAAGATACAAACTGATTCTTAGCAGCAGCGTAAATATGCCAAGACTTGACCTTTGTCTACGGGAAATGGGAACAATTACAGCTATTCTAAGTCATAAGATGAGTACAAAAAGTCTGTGATTATTATGGAAATTTAGCAGGATGAATATTCGTGATCTCCCATTCTTTGTAATTTATAATGGAAGAGTGGGGTTTTCTAATCCGAGTCAATTTGACTTCAAGTATCATCTAAATAAATAAAAAAACATTCTGCCTAGATCCCATGTAAGTCACTGTGTAACAGTAAATATAAAATCTAACACATTTAAAAAATCCGAGAGTCATTCTCATAAAAGTGATTTATTGCAAATTATACCAAGTATGACGATTGTGTGATTAAAACAATTGTAAACTTGGTCGAAGTTTGAAATAATATGTAGGTGGTGTTATGTGGAACATTCTGCAACAACTTATTTAACAACAATAAATATTTATATTAATATTTTAACATTTCTAAGTGTTTTAGGCATTCACTGCTCGTGTAAATACATTTCAGTAACTTTTTGATTGCAGTAATCGATCGACTTGCTTAAAGATTAGTGACCTCTCAGATATAAGAATAGTTTCATATGTTTATTATCAAAAATTACCTGAAGAATAGTTAAAAAAAGCTATTCTCATTTTATGCCTTTTGCACTTGAGCACAAAGGTTTAGAAGGATGGTATCTTAAACACATTTAAGGTTTTTATCAAAAGAGCTTTTTTCTCTTGTCAATGACTTTCTTCTTCTTTGTGGCCTTCTTTTTTTCCTGATTTGAAGCTCTCTTCACTGGTGGAGGAGTAGGCTTTGCGTCTACATCGCTATCAGAATCAGACAAAACTTCGACCCCCATTGGTTGTCTTCTTCCTCCCCGAATGATTTTGTTCTTCTTGTGTCCAACTATTTTAGCTGTTGCTCTTTTCACAGGAGAATCTGTTTTTGCAACTCCTGATAAAGAAGATGAGTTACTTATGGATGGAGGACTTTTTGCTTCCGCTTCCACACCCACTAGTTTCAGATTTATGGAATCATCAGTGGCAATTATAAAACTATCTTTGGTAATTGCACTTATATATTCTGAAGTCTGTCTCACATCTTTCCGAAAAGCTTCTGAATCAAATTCTGAAGTTTCCAAATATGGTCTGGAAACTTTTGATCCACTTTCTTTATAATCTCGAATTTCTGCATCTTTCTTTTTTATAACCTTAATGAGTTGATCATTAGAGCATTGTAAACTTGCCACAAGCTTCAAGAAAGGTTCAACAAAAAGTTCAATGCTCATTTGAGTTTGGACCATTTTGCAAGTGAATTCCCATAAGAACGGGATTCCTTCTTGAAATGAATTTTTCAGGCTGATGGTAACTAATTGTTTTGATGTTTCAACAACCGTAAAAACATTTGTAGTATGATGAAGCAATGTTTCTTGAATATGTAGAAGAATACTTTGTGTTGGTGCTTCTAATCTTCGATTAAGTTGTTTGCATCTTATTTTTATATCATCGTTTGAAAGGGATTCTTCCCAGATGTTCACCAAATCGCAAATGATAAGATTGTATGAAGAATTATCCTGACAGTTCAACTTGATAAGAAACTTCGTTTCGCCTTTATCACAAGTAAGCAATTTCCAACCTCTAGTTTCCATTTCATTCAATAAACTTAACAAAAAAAAACACAATATTCTGCTATATAAACATATTATGTTTGAGACATTGGGAGGAACGGAATGTCGACATCAATATATTGAAATTTTGATCTAGTGGTGATCATGATTAAATATAATAAATAAAATAATAAATAAAAAAAATAATAAATAAAATTCATTCAAGTTCGAATCACATAGGGAAAGTTGGGACACTTTCTTTCTTTTGCATATTTTGAGCCGTTAATTCTGCATATTCACTTAAATTGGCGGGACTAGTGCATAGAGGGGTAGTTTTTATTCAGCGACTAAGAAATTCCCTTGCGACACACATCTTACTACCAAAATGCTTTGAAAAACGTCTGTCAAGTGTTCCACTGTACCCCACTTGTGGGGCACATTCGGACAGACCCTCAGTCTGTCAAAATTCTACGAAGTATGCCCTTAAAAATAAGAAATTAATCAGCATAATCGTCTAAAGAACAGGGAGACTTCAAATTTGAAGCTTTAAATTTTTAAAATCAATGTTCAACTGAAATAGTTCAGATATTTTGACAAAAAATTTCGCAAACAAATTTGGTTATTTCCTTCCTCGAATCTAAATCTGGAAATATTAATGATTTTAGAATATATTTCATATTGGGCCATGGGTCGAAAGAAACCATAATATTACACTAAATATAACAGAAAGTTGTTGAATATCGATTTACTAACGACGTGATAGAATTATTACCGGTGCCAATATCTAAATATTTTCTAGCGGTTTAAAATGCACGAAATTAAACGGGGAAAACCAAACCTCAAACACACAAAGCCAGCAAACCGGCGTATTTCAATCGCGAAGTTCGAAAGCTGTGGAAATGGGGAATTCCCTTAAACATCACCGTTTGAAGTCAAAAGTACCTCGCTAGGTGACGCATGTGTATCAACAAACTTAAAATATCATTTCAGAAGTTTTGTCGTCGCGTACGTCTCGCATGAAGTATGCGGCATCAACTGAAGGTCGTCTTCTGCGTTATATGAATGTGGCGTATATATATGCTATAACTAAAAGTACCCCGTGTATCTGTGTTATTGTTTATTATTAAATATGTTGAGCTACATGATCAAATCATCAAGTTATGGTCCGTTCGGGGACCATTTTTCCAGAGAAGAAACATCTGAGTTTATATCCGAGCGTGCCATGACGGTCCTAAGTCGAGCTGCAAAGCGTAATGTCTGCAAACAACAGTTGATGCTTATGAAATCATCCTCACCTTGGAAACAAATGACGCCGAGGGAGAATGCGAGATCAGCACCTGAAAGAAAAAGATTTTCAGGTAAAAGAAGCCTTGCATCCTCAGCCCCGCCAATGATGCGCCAGCCTCCACAAATTACAATAGAAGAAGCGAGTGTTGAAAGAAATGAGGATAATGATGATCATATTGGGATTGAGGAAAATGAAATATCTGCGCAAGATCCTATTTATTGTGCTTCAGCACCGCCAACAGCCTCGAGCTTGAATACCACAGTTGAAAATGTTTGGGAAGCTAGGCCTCCAATGACACCTCGACAACAAACTTTACCACAATATCCAAACTTACTAACAAGACCAAAATATCAACCAGTTGTTAAACCTTTGCATCAAGCAAGACCATGTGAGTTTTTAAGTATGAAAATATAATAAAAACTTCAGTACAAGATTTGATCAATATAACTGCAGGCTAGGCTGCTTTTGCCTATTCAATCAACATAAAATTTGAAAAATGCAAAAGATCATTGAAAGTAGTTTCTACATGTATGTGTATAGTGTAATACAGACTCAACTAGACAAGTCAGTATTTCACATAGGCATTTTTAGGTCGGGAGGAATATATGGAACTATGCGAAATTTTTCTATATAACATATTTCCATGTCTTTTGCTCGCAGTGATTTCCCTACATCCATCCCCTGCACCCCCACCGCCTTAATTTAAAGGTGTGACACCACACTTTAATTCTCAACTTGGAATATAATTGTAGGATGTAGATATAATTCTAGAAAGTATCATCATATATACCAGTGAAGATGGTCATGTCTAGTTACAAATAGTTTTATTATTACTAGTAAAATATATACCACCAACTAAATTTCGAAACATCCCCCGTCCTAAAATGAAAAGTCAAGAAACATACTGGCTACAATACAACCATGGCTCTGCACATGCAACCACTGATATTGAAGGCTATATAGAGCTATTTTTAGTACTGGAAGCTTTCTGGTTGTTTACTTAATTTGTTATACCCTGGGTAAGGTGGTGTGCACTGAACCTAAAAACTCGACCATGGTTGAGTCCCAGTGATGTATACATTTAAATCACAGCAACAACTGACTGGGACTGGGTTCGTTCAAAGCTTCTTAGTCGAGATTCAGTGAAACGTCCTGAATCGTCAATGACGTTTGATGACTTCCTAAATGGCCTGGATCCTGACTCTGATGAATACGACACAGATTTGGAAGATGCTTATTATACTGAAGAACACGAACCTTATGATCCAACAGGAATTTGGCACTACGAGAAATTGTGTAAAATTAAAGGTACTTTCTGTTTACAACCACACTCTCAGCTTATTGAGATATTCAACTGTACCAAATTTTTCAAGTTGAAATTTTGTGCTCTGAGCCTTTGAGTACTTGTGGCCATATTATTTTGTTTTAATGAGATAACTTTTTGAAGATTCTGGTGGCAATTACCACGATTCTGAATATTCAAGCAGAATAGATATTAGTTTAATGAATATTTATAACACATATTTTACTTTATCATTATTAAATGTAGTCATTTTTTCTTTTTATTTATTCAAGGTACTGTGCCTGCACGTCAGGTTGTAGAAAAACTTGGGAACAAACATATTCAGTTCAGACTAAATCACAGGTAAGAATTTGAAATGAAATTTAAAATTGAAACATTGAAAATTCAAAGTAAAAGTATTTATTTACAAATTTGTTTATTGAAAATATGTTTTTGATTTTAATTAACAAATCTGATTATATAGGAAATTTCAATATGCGCTGTCATGTGCTTTTCATTTGTCTTGATATGATAAAACACTTTTCAGGTACATTGGCACAAAAGATAGTGAAGCTCTTGCAAATGGTTTAAAAAACAATGATTTCATTGAAGATCTTGATTTATCTGATAACTGTTTGAGTGACAAAGGTGGACAACATGTTGCTAAAATGATGAGGTAAGTAGAAAGAATATTGTTTCCCTATTTAAGCATTACTGTCCACTCCTTGATCTGAAAAATTTCAATGCTTGAAAAACATGTATGATCTGAAGAATTAGTTTGAATTATAAAATCAAAGACAAAATGAAATTTTACCAAATAGTGAATTTATATTCATTTCATAACCATTTTTTGAAAAAGATTAGTATTAACATGAAATTTGTTAAAAACTAATTTTTTTAGAAAAACTCAAAAGTTGAAAATATATTAAGTTTCAATCTTGATATTTTGCCAAAACATATTGACTAGATTTAATAAACCAGGGTCGCACTTCTACCCGACCGATGAAATTTCCTTTTTTCGTTATGGTTTGGCATGGCGACGCTGATATAGCATTGTTTTAAGCAAGATTATCGTTGTACATTGTCTGACTAAATATTATTTCTTACTGATGTTTGGATAATACGATTTGTTGGTAAACAATGGTGTAAAAGTTTAAATTGATTATGAAAGAAATATGATACAAAATTTCAGATATTTCTGTTAGCATTTGCCATACTTGGTTTTGGATACAATATGAGCTGGTTGCAATGAATATATATATCTCACCATTAATTCATGTTTGGTTAAGCCCGATAGGGACTTATGAACTGACAATAGATAATCGTGATGTGGGAGGTTTGACTGTATTGTTTTTTTGATTGTTCTAAACACAACTTTCAATAAAGAGATTTGTTGGTTATCTTTTGATCCTTTGTGATTTCAATGTTTTGTCTGCGTCCCTAGATCCCTCCTATTCGTGGATTATCTATTGTTAAAACAGTCTTAATTGTATTCTAATACGCACGCCATTTGTAATTTGAAGATTTGATCATAAAATCCACAAAACAACGTGAGCTATTATTTGTTTTGAGGTTTACCACACACTTCACTCTATTGATAGGGCTCTTTGTATTGCTTTGAACCATAAACTTCAGAAATAGAATGTGTTCAAACATTTAATCACACTTAGATTTAATTTATGCAATTTTGAATGAATGTTACCGAGTATTGCCCAATATAAGGTTATAAATATCCATATCCCTATGTTTGCTATATCAGTGATTGGAAAAGTTAACAAAACTCAATTTTCCTATTCATTGTATCAAAGAATGTAGTATACAGTCAGGCAAGATTATCAGTGATATTTGTAAGTTGGACCTGGTTTGATTAAGTCCTAACCTACCTGAGAAAAAATCCGCAAAAGAAATATTAAATATTCAAAAATACAAAATATCTTGTTAGAAAAAAAAACATGTCCCCTATTCAAAACAACCACCTCACTTTACGAATTCCATGGATACGCATTTGCATGTTTGAATAATTTTGATGTTCAAGTAATTTGACGAGTGTCATGACTCAATCGTTAGAATGACGGTAAAGCAGATTGGAGTTAAAGGTGATGCTTGGCTATTCTTCGAACCAGAATATAACTGGGTCAACTTTTCTAAACTCATAGCATATGTTTCTCAATCACAATAGCCTGATATATATATATATATCAAAACAAATTGCTGGACACCTTGACACTGCGTGGGCTGGTTACGACTTACTCTACCATCAAGTCCATTCATCTAAAACAAATAACTAGTAAAGTATTTTAAGCTGTCCTAACGATTTTTCTCTCAGGATAAATATGAAAATCTTATCTCATCCAGTGTGGAAAGCATCACTTTGTAGTATAAATTCATAAAACACAAATCTTTTACCATCAAAACTGGCCTAGTTTTGAATTTTGCATAACAATTTCAGGAAGAACCGTCAAGTATATCGACTTGATCTCAGTTCAAATTGTCTTCAGTGTGATGCAGGAAGATATTTGGCTCAAATGTTACTTTATAATCGACATTTGACTACACTGTGTTTGAAAAAAAATAAACTTGGAGATAAGGTATGGGTTGCTATTTATTTCAATGTCTTCAACTTCTTAATTGAATTCATTTCATCCCGTTTTAAATCTCACATACCGGTATCTCATTATCCATCACATCATCTCATAAATTTTTTTGCATGTCATCTCAATTATCATATAGGAAGCACTATTACTTGCTGAAGTTCTGCGAGTCAACAGATCATTAAAATCACTAGATATCAGTCATAATCAACTTGGTGATAATGCAGGTAATTTTGGGATTTAACTTCATTCATTTGCTGCTTGTCATTTAGTTTGAACAAAGAGTGTTGTGAACATTGGTGTCTGTCATAGTCATTTTAAAAGTAAATTAAATGCTATATTATATAAATGCTGTTAACCGTTTCCAATGCTTCCATACTAGCATGTTCATTTGTTGGCCATATGATTGAGCCATATTATCTCTTTCCTCTTCCCCTGGACAAACGTATTAATCTTATCCCATCCTAACAACCACATTGAAATGGTCACTTTATCATTACTGATCAGTTCTTTTGGATGGAAACTTTTCATTAGTTTAGTTACATTCAAATGGCTGTTAGGTTGTCTTGCTCCCAAGTGTATGTCTGAAATCTAACCAATTGTGTTCTGTATTAATTTGCTTAATGAAGTATACAAATTGTATTCAATTGAATCATATTGTATCATGTATTGTATTACCTTCGATAAATTATATAAAGGTAAATAAAAAGGATGGTGTATTAAACTATTCTCTTATAATATTTAGGTGAAGCATTCTCTGCTGCACTTATGGATAACAAAACTCTGAGAAGTTTAAATTTATCATGGAATAGTTTATGTAAAAGAGCTGCTGCTGCCATTGCAAGAGCCCTTGATGTAAGAAGTTGAATTTTATCTACTGTACATGTATTTTGTTTTGTGTTGTCATCTGAAACCTCAAATAAGAATTTTTTTTATATAATTACACTCAAATGTTGAAGTATGGATAGGATTTTGAAGGCATTGTGTTTTAAAACGAAGTCAATTGTGTTTTTTGGTCACTTTATTCCAGGGATAAACATATTGATTTGATGAAAAGTATTTAAAGTTCTGAAAATGCCTGCATTAAAGGTTGTTTATGGTTATCTATAATTAAATTGATAACATATATTTGATCTGTACATCTGAATAGTACTATCTCCAGCCTATGCAGTGTGTATTTTTCTATCAATCAGTGATTGGTGATTATTTTATATTTATAGATAAACACAACACTCTTCAGCCTTGATTTATCTTACAATGGGTTGGGAGATGACGGAGCAGTCTTACTTGGTCATGCTTTGCGAGAAAACTCAACTTTGAGATTTTTATCTCTTGCTGTAAATCATATATGTGGATATGGAGCCGAACAACTAGCGACCGGAGTGTCTGGTGGAATGATAATGACAAGGAAGAAAAAGAAAGCAAAAATGGGAAGAACAAAATGTGGATTGCAATATTTGAACCTTGATAGAAATCCACTTGGTGTTCGTGGAATTAAGGTATAGAGTGAGCTGATTGAGTAAAAATGTGTTAATGAACAGGAAGTCTTCATATGGACAGTTTAGTTAATATGTTGTTGTTGATAATCATTTTGTTGTTGGTATTCCTTTTCTTCTTCATGTTGCGAGAAAATTGCTTTTCTCTCCAATTGCTGGACCAATTGGAAATTTCCAGTGGTGAAAGATTGTATTTTTTGAATACCCTGCATGGGCTTGCAGGTATGATTCCTGTGAGGATAACTATGTACGAGAAGATTGTTGGATTCCTCGACGCCATGGGGTAGTTTAAGTAACCGCTGGTTGGTTCGGGCTTCCTCTATGTATCAAGTCCAAACATCTGAAACAAATGCTCACTAATTCCATACCCGACATGGACTGGTAACCGGACCAGAGGGCGTGGTTTGCTATATGATTAAGCATTGGCTTTCCTTTTTCCCGGGATATATATATTAATCTATATACAGCTTAATATGAAAATGTATGTGTATGGCATTTCAGATTAATTAAGCCCAATAGATAGCAAAACTGCAGCAACAAAATATTCACATATAAAAGAAGTCTTATACATAGATGTTTCTAGTTAGTAATATGTATCCTCGATAATCTTTTTTTACTAACATGTGCCGCTCAAAACATTAGCATATTTTATTCATCTCATTAGTTACTTCTTCAACGATTATCCAAAGAGAAGACGCTTAAAACACTCAGTATCAGAGAGGTCGTTTTGAATGATGATTTACTAAAACAGATCAGAACATTGAAAACAACTTCAAGCAAAGAAATCACTTTATTGCATGAAGGACAGGATCAAGTTGAACAAACGGTTTGTCCAATAGTTCCAACAACTTAAAACTGCCAAGTTATAATTTTAAAAACCGCTAGAAATATCAATAATTTACTTCTTTGTCCAGAACTTGGCATGAAAGTATCTGTTGAAATAAATGTTGGGAGAGAATATCAAACATGTAGGCATGCTATGTATATTTAACCTAGGAAGCATCTTTGATGAGAGGAATCAGAGTTTTGAACACATCACTCGAATCTTTACATGTTAAGATAATAGATGTTGTTAATGCATTGGATAACAGAGGAATCGGTGCAAACATATCAGATTTGAGAAATGTACTCGCAGAACACACATCATTAACTGAGGTTGGTTGTTAGTACATAAGAAACTGTTTTTTCTCCTTATACCTATAGTGGTCTAGGCATCTTCTGCTATGGAGCCATTGATACCAAGCTCACATGTGTACACTAATTCGATTTTTATCCTTTTCTTTCAAGTGTTTTCTTTGAGATTTATATTCAATTTATCACAATCTGTGACTCGTGATCATTTCTATTATTTTTATTAGATTAAATTAATTTTGCTGCAGTGATAGGTTTGTTGACCTTTATTCTAATGTTGTTGGTTCAAATATACATGACAAGTAAATTGGGTTTATATTAATAGTACAGTGATACCGTCGTTATAATTGTTTGGGTAATTGCAATCATCACTGATAAGAAGCAGGAATTTTTTGTCCCCCTTTTACACCTTTCAACTATTGTTCGGGAAGATGGCCTAACTATGTTAGCTTTTCAGATAAGGTATGAAGCGTTTGATTTGATCATTGATTTTGCTCAGCTCAAGCCCACCACTTTGGCCCAGGATGGAAAGCTATTCTGTACTATTAGAATTGTTACAAATTATTTTTTCTTGCAGCTGGAAATTGAATATGCAGTTAAAAGTTTGGATATAAACAATGATGATATTGTACAATACAAAGATATTGCTATTCACTGCAGAGGTTCTTGAATATATGTTGTCATTCAAATCTTACTGTGTGTGAAGAACACCTCGTTACCAATTTGAACCAAGCAATGACTTAAATTCAGAACATTCATGATGCATGAATATTGACGTTGTGATAGAAATAAAAAATTCTGAAGAAAAGTTTCATGTGTTGCGAAATCTATGCTCTTCAACTTAACAATGATTACATTGTTACATTACAATGACTACAAATAATTTGTGTGATATTTCAAACGTTTTTCATATTACACCTTTCCCCTTTCACTTCGGATGTCACGAAAATTTAATTGGAGATGCCAGTACTACCATGGCTTGTTACTTTATGATTATTAAAAATTTATACATGTGTATTTAAAATAGTATATATTATTTTACAGAATAATTTCTTTTTAGTTTTGCGTATTGAATTTGTACCTTGTAATGTTACCTTTGTTGAATCTTCTGCACATTGAGTTCTTGCTTGTTTCCCTAACTTTATTTAATCCTTGTATTTTTTATGAACTATGAAGTGCCATCCACTTTTTACCATCACCTGTTGTTTGTTAAAGAGAGCATTAATGAAATATCTCTATATTCTTGCCATGTATTTTGTAAGCATCTATTGCAAATTCATTGTATTCTTTAACTTTTTTGTTATAATTCCACTGTGAAATATACATGTTGATTGTTACACTTTTTTTTCGCAAAAAAAAATATTTATTTTACAGTATATTCATTTGTTTTTAATGACATATGTGAAAACATCAGGCTGTTCCAGTTTTTAAATTATACAACCTAATTACTTAAAGCAAGGGCTGGGAATCAACTGATTAACTGATTTAAATTGGTTGATGATTGCAATAAGTTTTGATCTTGAACCGCAATATCAGATATTGTAATATTTATACAATTGCCTATAACTAAATTTATCTTAGTTTTTTTTTAATCCTAAGGTTAACTTACATGATAAATTACAAGAAAATCAATTAACCTTATTAACATTTTCTGGAGGTAGGACAAAACTCGCCAAATTCACTACATTCCTCCGCAATGAAATTGAAAGTCTGTTACTTGAGTTCCGAATCTCATTATCCTACGTACTGTACTTTTTGCTGTAAAAGGATCCATCCAATCAGATAAACTTAACCAATTTGTTTCATGGGCAAATTTATTCAATGTTATTTATTTTGTGCATTCCTTGTTAGCATGCATTTAATGCAGCTTTTGCAAGATTTGAAAGTTAACGCAAATACTTTAGAGACTGCTCAAACGCAAAATGCTTAATTTCCCCTTATGGTATCATACAGAAATTGAGTCAATAATATAATACACAGTGTCTATAAAAACGCAAAATGCTTAATTTCCCCTTATGATATCATACAGAAATTGAGTCAATAACATAATACACAGTGTCTATAAAACCAACAGTGATTAACCTGCCAACATTAATTAACATTGAAATTATCTTTAAATCAGAACCCATTTCAAGGCAATTCAATTAACTTAGCTAAGAAGCTACTGAGACATCTATAATCCCATCTAACAAAAACAAACGCTTCTGTGGCAAATTTTATTTCAATTTGAATGTATAGTAAATTTGTAACAATAAAGCTGGATAATAAGAATATCAGAAATACACAAAAACGATAATAAATAACAATTCTAATTAATAGGATATCAAAGTAGAGTCAATGTATCATAGTGGAATCTTCAAGTCAAAGCATGAAATGGAGTTTCATACATCCGAAATGACATAATTCTATAAATGGAAGACTATGCAAAAATTTCTGCCTTCATCATATATAGCTGATAAAGGAATTTTGTTCTAGGCATTTGACTGCCGCCGCTACTAGTAACAGCTTGACGACTAGAGCATTATATTTAGCGTTTTGATTGTTATGTATTAGATTTATGTAAAGCATAGCTTACGTAGTGATAGTGACATGACCCAATCTTAAAATTTCGAATTCCATCACTGCCAATATTAAGGCCAGCAAAATTTATTTCACATTTGAGAAATTTATAAACAAATCACTAAAAAACTTTTCAACGCATTCACAATAATTTTTGATACAATAAAAAAGTTGCAAAACGAAAACACAAACATTTAATTTAATCTGATTCTGAATATGAAAACTAATTAAGTAAAATATTAATTGCTTAAATATTGATTATTAGGGATATAAGTTATTAATAACCAAACTGTGGAACATATATATTTGAGTAAATTATCAATTCTTCTATTGTTTTAGGATTACAGGCATAAAATATTCGATAAAGCAAGCACAAGGGGGATGGAAGGTGGCTGAAATAGATATGCAAACACAGAGTGAATTTGATTTGCAGAAACTGACTAGATATTCTGTTACTATAATCCATACACGTTTGCAAAACTACAATATATGATCGTAATAGTAATATTTATTGGTCTTTTTATACCTATGCTCCAACCAAGGTTGTAGGCTAGCAGCCACTGACATGTGAGTAGATGCCCAAATTTTTGGGAAGTTTTCTGGTAGTTTTGCAGTTAGTAATTTGGTGGTATTTTTTGTAATTGAAACATATTTCTAGCCTAATTTTTCTTTTTAAATAAAAATTTGAACTTTGTTGCAATCAAATCATGATATAAGTCAAATTATTTCGGGTAAAATTTGACGTTGCGCAATGCTAAAGATTCAGCATGCTTGAAGATTATTAAAATATTCAGAAAATACAAAATGGCATTATTTGGAATAATTTTTGTGCTTGTATGTCAGCCCATATTAGAATTATATATGAAGCAGCAATCACAAAAATAATGTTTCGAAATATTTAATACATTAGACCTGCAAGCAGAAGATTGTCATAGTCAACTACATTTTCTCACTGTTCATTCTTCTATACAGTGTCTCACCGATACATTCGAAACGTGGCTGGATAATATGATTATTCTAATTATGTTGTTACAATTTATCAAATGGTCGAACCCATTATTAAGCAGACAACAACCTGCTCCACACGATGCATAGCAAACGATGGGATATTTTCGTGCTGGCCCTCTTCTTTTTTAATCATCCCAGTCCTCGTCATCATTAAATTCACCATCATCAGATTCAGAGTCAGAATCTAGAAAAAAAAGTTCATATATTTCTATACTCCATGAATTATAGAAAAAAGTAGGAAACCCATATTTTTTTATCTATCAAATATGGGTAAATGATAGCACAGGCCACAGGCATACTTGAAAATGCCTCTAATTTTAAAAATACCCAATCTGTGGAATTTTGACAACAAAAGATAATAATATCAGCAATGATGTTTTCAGGGAAATTTACAAAAAGTAAGCTTGTGCACCTACTCAGAAGTAAAAAAGAACCATCTCTGATAAAAGTCAAGAGCAAACACTGAAACGCCAATAGCTACTGAAAACATATAAATATAAGTGTTCAATTATGACTGTAGCTTACGAAAATGCCTGATGGTGCAAGACTGTAAGAAAAATAGGTACGAGATAGTAAGAACTGGAGGGGTTTTTGGCATAAAAGGTCCTTTTCCGGAGCTCCCGAAGTATGTGCACCAAGATGGCGCACAATCTGAACATAGTATGTGTACCCGGTTAGGATTCAAGTTGTGCGCCATCTTGGTGCACATACTTCGGGAGTGCCCTTTGTCCAGACCTTGAGGCTACACCTGACATAGACAAACTATGGCCAGTGAGCCAAATCCAGTCCTCTGGGTAATTCAATCTGGCCCACACTGTGATGCCACAACCAAGGTAAAACCAAATTTCAATGTTTCAGCTAAAAAATAGCTCAAGGAGTTTGTTGAGATTGCGATTAGATTTACCGGTAGTTTTAACACAAGGCTTATTGTTTCCACTTTTACTTTTGTAACACTGTAAATATTTTCATTTTACGTCACACATGGCCCACCAGTCTAGGTGTGCGAAATTTTTGGCCCGTGGTTCAAAAACGTTGCCCACCGCTGACAGTGTACATAATCCAGCCGAAAACACTTTTTGGAGAAACAAGCAACATTTTATGACATTACAGTTTTTTCCAAACATACCATGAATTGCTTTTTCTCTCTGCATTAAGGCTCTAGCCAGAGCACCAGCGATTCCACCGTCATCCTCATCTTCCGTTGGTTTGTCTCTCATTTCATCCTGAGAAACCTGAGCGAATTATACAAATTTATTGTCAGTTTATACAATAATTTACTTGCCTGTTGTAATTACCCCTATTTTTTAGAATCACAAATTTTCGATTTCACAATGAAAACAATATTTTAATCATCGGTATTTAAAGTCCATGCTGAATATGAATACCATAATCTCTTGTTCTGTATATTAGGAGTATATCAAAGATGCTTTCTATTCCGTAGAAGCAGATTATGTTATTCATATTTCAAACTTTAGTACTGTCTTGTTCAAGCATGCTTGTGGCAACGGTCACATACAGATCCGAAGTAGGAAATATGTAATCTGTTAAAAAAATTTGAAAAAGGAAATTATAACATTGGCTTACTGTTTTCAACTGTTTTCCTTGCCTAATTTGATCAAGTAATGCACCACGTCCTGTGGCAGGTTCCGGAGGAGGTGCGGCAGATGGAGCTTTCAAATTGGTGCCCTGAAAAAGAAACATGTTTATTAAAATTTATTTGTATGAATTAGCATATCCAACAAAACACAGAGAAAGCCAATGGATAAAATTCGTTTTAAGGCATCATACATTAAGATCATCGATCATCACATACCAAATTTTCAACACAGAGGAAAATTTCATGAAAAAATAGAGAAAGAAGGATGGGCTGCTATTAACACATCATTATTGAGTTTTTTGTGCACCATTTCCTCTCTGAAAAAGGCTCTTTACATGCATTCAGAGATCTATCTATAGCTCGGGGTATTCTATTGAAGGATATTATCAGTACTATCGTTATTGTTACTGTTGTGTAAAATTGTGTAAATAAAGTTGTTACTTACCCCTCGAATTGCTGAGAGCAAATCGGAGCGGTCGGAACCTCCGCCAGTGGGCATAGGAGGGGGTGGTGGTGCCATTGGTGCCGGGGGTGGTGGAGGAGGTGGCGGTGGGGCGCCGCCCATTGGTGGATAGGGCGCACTCATGGGTGGTGGAGGTGCCCCCATAGGTGGTGGAGGTGGTGCTCCTCGACCCCTATTACTGGGTGGGGGAGGGGGCAGTTCAGAACGATGAGAGGGTGGATTATAACCCCTTGATGGAGGGGGTGGGGGGCCCTGATTTCGACTTGGCGGAGGGGGTGGTGGACCTCCTCTGGATGGTGGCGGTGGGGGTGCAGAACCTCTACCCCCACCACGAGAGGGTGGGGGTGGTGGTGGTCCAGTTCGTGTTTGCTGCCTGGAACAAAACAAAAGAGAAAATAATTTAACTGTAAAACAAGCAGAAATTAATATTATAACACAATCGATTTTAAATTAAAAAACAACATACTTGATGGCATCCATTCCACCACGTTTTTCAATGAAATCATAAATAAATTGTGCAGTTTCTTTGTCTTGCAACTGTGTTTCACTGATTCCAGCATGAGTGAATAAATCCTTCAATGCTGGATCAACTTCATTCATCTGAAAATTTACAGTTTACCATTAAGTACTAGCAATACCAAAAATTAACAAAAAGCACAATATGGCGCCCCAACATATTCTTTAGATCAGTGTTTCCAACCAGAAAAGTATTTTACTGTTCTCCGAGAGGAAATTGGTTTTTGTATTTGAACTGGTATTACTAATATTAACTCATTTATTAGTACTCATCCATGTCATAGATATTCATGATCACATTACAAACTTTTCAAAAACTCGAGTGCAAAGTTGGGCGCTCCAAGTATTCGTACCAAGATGACGCACTACCTGAAAAGCCCTAACCTGGTGCACATACTATGTTCAGGTTGTGCGCCATCTTGGTACAAATACTTCGGGATCACCCAAAGTTGCGCATATCACCAGGTATTTCTCCATTACTGATAGAAGGAGAATGGAAGCATGTATAGAAAAACGTTGTGAAATATTCAATAAGAACAAACACACTCAACATACCACATTCTTTAAGTTAGGAAGGATAGTTTTAGATATAAATATACTCACATCAAATCCTTTGTTAGGATCCCATCCAACGTGGCCAACATGCCTGAAAATCAGAAATTATACTTAATTTCATATCAATATATTTGAATAAAATTTTTCCATTGTTGTTGTAGGTCCACTTCTGTGAGCTCAATAATAACAGACAACTGAACCAAAAGCTCTTATGACAGACACATTGGGCGTTTTAGTTGTTTATGTTGGTTACAAAATTTAGGATTATTCACTACTAATTATGAAAGTGGTGACCTGTGGTTGAACCGCTATACTTAATTATGCCTAAAATCTTTGATTCAAATACCATAGCCACAACCGAGGGTGTGATAAATCTGGCAATGCCAAACTAGAAATATTCCGGTCCTTTTTATCTATAGCACCTTACGTGGCAGTGGCTGATTGTGCAGAGCCGTGTTCCGAGCGAAAGGGTATGTATAAATATATCATAATAATAATTTTCAAGAGAATAAAATTCCAGTATAAAATTCAAATACATACTTGAAATCTTGTGGTTGACTGATATCTGCTTTCGTTAATTTTCCTTTCTTTCCCTTCTTCTTTTTCTTGTCTTTCTTCGATTCTTCCTGCATCATTCCACCCTTGATATTGGTAGTAGACAAGGAAAGATTCGAATTATGTCCAGGTTGATTGGACGATTGGACATGGTTCTGGTTCTGAGGGGCTGTAAAAAGAATATACCTTGTTTAACATTTTTCAAAAATATAACAAATAGAAGTAAAAAAAAATGTAATTGTCCCAAAAATAAAAATTCTATTCAGTTTAAATACAATGAATTTCACATATGCAAAACTCATTTTATTGTGATCCTCCTTGCCTTATATGAACATCATTATTTTTCAATAATAATTCATTGTTTAATAAAACGATGCTTCAAATGAAACGTTTTTATGTAGTGTACAAAGTACAGAACCAAAATAAAAATTACCGGAAAATAATATTAATAATTTGAATTGTAATGAATAACTAAAAAGTATGACACATGGCAAAATATTGAAAAGTATGTTGTTAGTTGTAGTTGTTATATTGACTTGAGAAAAGCATGCTGGTAAATTTGCATAAAGAAGGCGTTGAATCCAAAATAATTTGAACAGTAAATACAGTAAATAAAATAATAACAAATCATGGTAAACTTTATTGAAATCTCCTCACTATTATTTTATTAGTATGTTTGTTTGTTGAGTAATTCAGCTATTTTAAGAAGGCAAACAATGAATGATACTCAATATTTTTCAATGATAAAAACATGGCTCGAAATTTCTCAGAAGATATATAAATAGATCAGCACATAAGCTGATCAAAAATTCGTCAATTTGCTGATGTTGAATCGAATAACCTTGAATGGGTTGAATATGATGACCCACGGTGATTTGAATACTTTCAAAAGCAAGTTCATAACTCAGAAATTTCATCTGGTTTCAAGAATTGTTCTCTATTTACAGAGAAATAAATATAAATGACCAAAAGGCCGAGGTGGGTAAACCCGTAGACTAAACTTAGAAGGCATTGTAGATTGAAATCTGGATCAAATCCCATGCTCATCTCCAAGGTGTAATAAATTGAATGAGCAAAGGTGAACCAGAAAGATCCCGGTCCCAAACTATAGTAAAAAAAAATGAAATTCAGATATAATTATTTGTTATTCATTCTCTCATGCATATGAAATTTTAACTATGATGTTTTCTTGAATCAAAGTTGGATTTCAAAGAAAGTACCGATAGTTGTTACAATCTGCATGCCTTTCCATGAGACAATTAAGCATTTTTCAGTTACGTTGTTAGATGGCACAATAAGATATCCCAATTATTACAGAGATCATAGTATAACATGAAACAAACGTATATGCTGTTAGGTTTAGTTGATTCATTTGCATAAATGAAATATTAATCAAACAAAAAATGATATTTGATGATGAATGCTGAACAAAATATTAATTAAAATCCATGACATGAGCATGTATTACCGGTACTTTTAGATAGAAATATTATTTTTAAATTTGAACCAGTAAGATGACTAATTTATTCATTGTAAAAAAAACACAGAATGAGAAGAATAAATCATATGTGTAATTGGCTATTAGTGCTGAGACGGCTTGAGTAATTGACTCAACTCGAGTACTCACTTATCAAAGACTCTAAGTGACTCGAGTCGTCTAAATGAAATGCCTTATATTTAACTAACGACTGATGAGAATTTGAAGTTCAGTCATTGAACAGACTTCGGATTCGGTTTTAACCTAGAACTCCCCATGATTCGAATCGCAAATCTGAGTTTAGAGACCTCTACCCATCACTGTAAGCTAGTAGTTTATACATTGGCTACGTTGAAATCACAGTTTACAGATTTAATTATCCGATCCAAGGTGGAAAAAATTGGGTATACCATGCTTACTAGTCCTTTGAAAACCCAATGGCACAGTTTAACAACCTGTTTGAAGATTCTAATTTCATGAAAATAATGATGAATCAAATTTAGTGTGTTTGGGAATTATTGTGTTGATTCAATGTAAAAAAAGAGAATAATAGTTTTCTGAAAATCATCAAATAAAATAAATTGTCATGATTATTTTATTAACGACAACACCCAAACAATACATTTAACTGAATAATCAACACTTTTTAACAAATTTATACACTATTCGAGATCATGTCAGCGCCATGCACAGAAGCGTAAATACCTGCTGTAGGTCTCGGTGATGATGGTGGAGGAGGCCTTTGCATTTTAGCTAAATAGGATGCAAAAATAGAATGCTACATGAAGATAAAATGATGAAAAAAAAATAAAGAATGAAAAACGAGCAAGTTTTTCTAATTCCCAATAATCTGTTTCAATTTTAGGTACAAACATCTTTAAATTTGAAATAGAAACACCTACCTATTGTTAATTTTAATCTGTTAGCTTTCAATAGCCTTGCTATTGATAGAGATCCAAATTTCACTTTGGATTTAGATTTATTTCGTTCTGATACACGTCCGCTCCATGTTCTTGATTGGCCCACCACAGAGTTTCGCCTGCATTTTTGCACCGAAGGTCTTTTTATAAATGTCTCCATACTTTGGAAAGTGTTTTCATCAGGACCAGATTTATCAAGAATATTTAGCTGATAACGGGCATTGCTTTGCTGAAGAGCATTTCTGTAAGCAGGCTTCATATAGTCTGGTATGTACGACGGTATATTATTTGACTCAATGTTTTTCCTTCGCCTTCGTTTTACTGTGTCTGTTTTTTTCTCTGGTGAGGACTCCGTGAGATTTTCAAAAATTGGGTTGTAAGATAATGGTTCAACTTTATCAACTTCAAAATCCTGTGCTGATTTGTTAACGGAAAGTAAAGTAACAGAATTTTCTGAACATGGTGAATTTGTTTTCGATTTTTTCCCAGACAGAAAAGAGAAATATTCTTCAATGTTCCAGTCTAATTTTGACATATCTTCACTCAAAGCTCCTTCGAAAGGATCAGAAGCAAAAGTGTACGACTTCTTTTTAGTAAGTTTTAATTTGTCTTTATGCTTTGGCGACTGTCTGAAAGTATTTAAATCAGTTTCAATACTCGAGGATAGTTCCTTTTGTTTATTAAGTAAAACACTATTCTCTTCAATACCAGGCAACTGTTTTTGAAGTTTCTTTTTACCCATGACAGGGGAAATATTAATATTAAAATTTTTTGGCATCGATAATTTCGGAGGATTACGATTGTTTGAGAGTCTTGTAGATAGCCTTCTATTTGCTGAAGATTTTGAAATGTTACAAGTTCCATTGTTCAAGTCAATTACAAGATTATCAGGTCTTTTGATCGAATTAGCTTGGTCTTTCCCTCGTCTTAATGGAGATTGCTTTGGCAATTGTAAAAAATTATTATTGTTATTGACGCTAGTGTTATTTGGCATAAAAGATTTATTTTCGGGGCAGATAGTTAAATCAGATAGAGATACGCTTAATCGTTTATTCATTCTTGCATCTTCGTGTAAATGATCTGAATTCACCACTGTCTGTTGGTTATTGCAAGCAACGGACATGCTTTTCTTTTCTTTCCAAGCTTTACTTCTAGAAATCTTTGTATCGCTCGATGTATTTCGTATTTCTTCAAGTTGCCAAAATTGCCGATTTGTTGAAGCAGATACTTGACAATCTGCTAAACTCTTTTTTCGCATTCTAGCTAACCTTGCGGGACTGGCGACAGTGTGATATTGTCCGAATGATGACGTCATATTACAACCATTATGGGAAGCTGGATCAAGATAAATATAATTCTGTGTAGGATGGTGAATAACAGATTTATTACGCTTCGTTATGATTGCGTTTTTACGTAAATTGTATTCCTTTTGTTCGTTTTCGAATGCAGAAAACACAGAACCGCTTTTTAAACTCATTTTCTGTAGTCGAGTGAGTACATTACTCTTAGCAGCCTGTAAGCTGAGCTTCTTTTTCTCTGCTAGAACTTTCAAGCCTGACCAAACAATTACTTCAGGCGTTTTTGATTCAACTTTACAGGCTGTTCGACCCAAGCTACTTCTTTTCATTACATCACCATCAGTCGAATCAATTTTGATTTTATGAGATGAAGGCTGAAAGTCTTTTTTTGAATTGCTTTCTTCAGAATCGAAACATAAGAAAGAATCAATATCTGTTACAGTGTCTGGGTTTTCATCATCAGAATAAATATTATCCTGAATATCTTGAAGAATAATTGGATTTACGAGCGTTCTCGAAGCTTGTCGTTTGCTCCGAGTTCTTCGTAAAATTGTTTTATAATCCAATGCATTATGCATAGGAGATGATGGTTTTTGTTGATCTGCAGGACAAATTGGACCAAACGATTGTTCTGATTTATTTTCAACACCAGAAATTGCTTCTGTTCCAACGGAAGAACCAGATAAGCTTACAACCCCACTACTTCTGGGTAAAGAGACGTGAGAAGATGTTTTACTAGCAGGTATCACTTTAAATCCCGAGCCTTCATCTGTGTTTTCTGATGCGTCTGAGCTTGTCCTTAATTTTTGTGGGCCATTTTTCTCTGCTGATTTACGATACGTTTCCATTGCTATATTGTATAGCTTCCACTGAGCTGATGTAGGATTCCCGGCGATACGATGAGTAGGCTTATTAGACAGAGTATTAAACGTTGGAATTTCATTATTATTATTGTTCTTGTCAGATGATGAAGCACCACTTGGATCTCCCTGGCTCACACTTCTCTCCCGTTTTAAAGGCATGTGTTTTCGAGTAACATGTAAGGTTTTTTGATCAGCATCGATATGGTATTCGTCGCTTGGCTCTGAGTGATGTCGTTTGAAATTCGTTTCATTTGAAACTTTCAGATTCCCGCTTGAAGTTGTTTCGTCTTCAAACATATCAATCATCTTTGTTATACCATTCTTTTCTGTCGTCGTATTAGCATTCATTCGTAATTCCGACCCAGTCGGTTCTATTTTAGGGAACAGTATCGCTGGCGATTTATTAGGCGAGTGAAACACGCAAGACTGCCTCGGTGAGCGTACCATGGTTGACACGGGAGAATCCTGTAGGGATATTCCGCTGGAATCTGACCAACGTCCGATCTGATTAGGCGGCACGCCCTTTGTATATTTATCGTTCTTAAAATCGAGGCCACTTGACAGCGTTTTTGCACCCAAAATTTCGTCGACGTCTAGATTTAAATCGGACGACTCTATTTCCAATCCATCCTCAATATCAGATAAGCTATAGTCCGAGCATATAGAATCTTCTTTTTCCATTTTTCCTCGACTTAAAGCAGCTAAATCTCTATTTATCGGTGGCGTTAAATCCATGTTTAAAATTTCACTTAAACTGGCAAAGGTAGTTGCCATAATGTTGTGACCCGAACTGACAGTAAAAACATAAATTTTGATAACACGCTTAATGAAGATCTGAAACGTGACGATTGGAAGCAAAAATAATGTTGATTAATATGTGTCTTGTGATGCAATATATCAAGCATTCAGAATTAACGATACACAAGGACTTAGGTTATTACAAAGTACTTTTATAATAGCGCCAATAAAATGCCTGCCACACAAATTATTGTTTTATTAATTTACGCGGATTATAAACTGCAAGTCGGCAACTAACATTTTTGAGTGGCATTTTTTCTTTTAGATTGATACCGTACCTCATGAGACTCGCATATTCAAACTAAACGCCCGCCCAAATATTAATGAAATTAAAGGAAGTATAAAGTTATTTTTATTCAACATGGTCCTAATAGGTGGTTTAATTATGACAAGGGGACGATTTTCATTGTTCTAACATGATCAATAAAAATCAATCAACACCTAAAAAGTACGACTTGTAATATCCAATGGTGTCTGGACCTCCGCCTTCTGTTATTACTAGAAATATTATATATATCTCACGAATCTGGAAATTTCGACTAACGCAAAAACACCTATTTGGTTATTATCCGGGCCAATTCGTGAGCGAAACCATCAAAAAATAAACACTAACGTTTTAGGCTGTCTTGGCACATGCGAAGCAATCCTAACCTAAAGTATTCATTCTTATCGATCGTTATCAAATTATATCGATATCAAGGTTTTAGTTGGAAAAATAGTGATCCATTTTGTCAAATGGCAGACAGTTAACAATCATCATATCAGTCCATTTTCGAGTCTGGCTCTATTTTGAAAAGTTCGGTCATATATTATTTTTCGGTTACGATCTTGCATGAAAATAAACAACGAAAAAAACGCCGATAAAAGAGAATCCAAGGTCCAATCTAATCATATGTAATTACTGTACATTCAAAGTGTTATATAAGCTAATAAATATAAGTTAGATTACGGAAACATACACTCGCAACTCAATTTCATTAGTATAAGGTTAAGCTATTTAGAAATACCTGATCTAGCAAATAAACGCAACGCAAAGATATGGTCCATTATAATTACATTTTGTTGTTTTTTAGAAATCCATACAGATATAGGCTCTCTAACATAAAATCTACCTGTTCCACAGAAGAGGACGAATATCTTGTAAACGAAAATAATCAGGACTGCAGATATGTATGCTTGTAGGAATATTACTAACATACGTCACTTGTGAAATACATCGAAAATCGTTGATAATATACGTATGAAAGGCATTTTAAAGTCCAGTATGGATTACGTGAATAAGAATTGCCTAATTGCCATTCAAGTCATTCGGAAAAGGCGGCGCAATGACATTCACAGAAATGATCTCATTGATCACAGAAAACGTGATAAGACACCGTATATACGAATCACACTTCTCAGATAGGTGGAACATTTTTAAACTACCTCAATAATATTGAGGATAGTATGTGCATAATATGTGATATGGGTCGCCGTTCCGTTTGGACCTCATTTAATTTTAATAACATAGCATTATAGCAACTTAGCGTGAAATAGCAATCGATGCACCAAATGTCCGAAATAGCATATTTGAATAATATACACTCAAAATTTGGCGTTAGTATGACACAAGCAAGTTGATATGAAATATTTACATTGGAACCAATATACTAGGGTTAAAACGAATAATATTCCAAATTTATTTCTTAAAACTTCGTCCTAACGCATAGACAACGAAAAGCCATTTTCCATATATATCGTGCTTCATAAAGTAGTTTAAAACGTCATAATGATAAAACTATGAACTGTTACTAGGGAAATCTAATGAAAGACTTATCAATAGTATCCTGAAATGCAAGTCATCAACTGTCACACTACAGTATAACAAGTGAATGCTATCAGCAAATTAATTGTGCTAAACTTAGGATTTTTCGTGATTCATAAATATTACAGAGGAAGAGATAACGGACGACTCCATGCTGGGTTCTAGACTTGTGCTATCTCAGTATTCCTACCAGGTACATTATAGAGCTGGAAGATTGATCATCATATTGCCGCATAAATATTTTACATTTATTTTCTCAATTATTGACTTATTCTTGCCTATTATCTCAATTCTCAGGGTGCTTTCAACATTTTGAAACAACTAACATTTTCAAAGGACCAAAGCATAAATGATTTTCCTCCCAAAGTGCAACACTAACAACGATTTAACATGAACTAACGAAACATTTGTGTATCTAAACTCTGTAACTAGCGGGACAAATCACCAGTTGTATGAACCGTAAAGTTACCACAACTAACTAAATACGAATATAACACGTTGTTGAACCCAAACGATCGAGACATATGGGTCAGACGAAGTAATCAAATACATTAGCGCCTTGATAACAAAACTATATGCGTGTTACTGTTGTTGTTATTATTACTATCATTAATATAAGCAACAATCTAACGCGAAATAAGGGTCGTAACCCGTATAATACGGACCATTACTCGTTTACGCATGTTATATCATCGGTTATTTAAGTAAAATCTGCTACTAAATAATATACTATGTTGCGGTCTACACATTTGTAACAAGTGAAAAATATCATTTTGGCAATAAACATCTTCACTCTCATTTTTTCTTTTTCGATCGTTGCGTCATTGGCGTGACGTAAACCCTAGTCGGGCTATCCAGGTACGAGAGTGAGCGATTGCGAGAAATTCACTAAAGTGGGAATTGTTACGCACGTTTGTCATGCCGCGGACAACGCTAATTAAGCGTTGCTGCCAAATTTATAATCATTCGATAAGAATATATGGACGATTCCCTGGAATTTGCGATATAAATTTCGATGACACGTACAGTGTTTTGTTGAGCAAACATTTCTAATATTGTACTAATCGTAATAAATCTAAAATACGTATCTTACATGCTTAAACAAGGTATTAAATAAACGCAAAAAAGAATGACCGAAAATAAAACTAACAATTTGGAACAATCAATACTAATGTATAATCCAAGTTCCTTCAACAGAACTTGAGAAAAATATTTTCTAGTTTCGGTAAAAACAGAACAGCTTGTTACGCGCAATTAGTGAATAAAGTTTAGTTTCATACACAATAATGAATATCATCAATTAGACAATAAATTGCTAACGATATCACACAAACGCAAATTTTCAAAGAAAATCAATGAAGGGACAATATCAGAATTGTAACCAATTCATAATAAATTATTCCTAGGGCCAATATCGAAATGTTTAGAAGTTGAAAGCAACGAAACAATGAGAATTTACGGACATGAATGTTTACATTGGTGATTATAACAAAGTAATTAGTGCAAATAATCTTATTATGAATGTAAAGAATGAACTACCGGTAGATAAATATAACATGAGAGCAAAGTTCATGAACTGCCTCGAATATCAAATGAAAGTGTGCTTTTGAATTTGAATACGGGGGAAATTTTGGGTGAAATTCTGGTTGCGAGAAAAATAATCTAAACAAAATGGGACCAGCTTATTTAGCAAAACGCTTTATGGTTCCACTTCAAAATCTATCACAAAATTCGTGTTCACTCAAATACATAAATCGTACTACATAAAATCGAAAGTTGATTTAATAAATTGGTCTGGTGACATTCAACAACAAAAAACATGATATAAATACGTCATATTTACACATAAAACGTATTCAATTTTGGACTTGATCCAAACCATGAATTTTCTACCACTGATTGATTTATTAATTTTTATCTATAACCATAACTCCTGCAGTCAGCACCTTGACAATAATTTAATCGCTAAAATAGTATATACACAGGTAAGCATAACTGCAATCCAGACTAATAGGTTGTCTACAGAGGTGAAAATTTGACGAGTAAAGATTTCATGTATAATTTCAGTCAATAACGCTTTCGTTACCACGATTTCAAATGCGAAGAAAAATTCTTAAGTTGGTGACAAAGGGTTAATGTAACATTACGTATTACGTGTAGATACAGGAAGTTGTAGAAATGCATTGAAATACGAACGAGGGAGCAGAGAAAACATGGGTTTCTCACATTTGTTGTTTTCTGATATTATGTTGCTGATTTGATGTTTCCGGATGTGATAAGAGAAATTGTGGGACAAGTTGGAATAATTTGTTATTGTCAATTTGATTTTCATACTGACATTAACCAGATTGCTTGAAGAATAGAATATTATAGAGTAACGTGGTTTCAAATGATGGTTTGTGGATAATATGACCTTTATTCGTACATAACAATTACAATCATTAAACACAAGAAAAAAATAACTGTAGTCTGAAACGTAGTAAACTATCATGATCAAAATACAAATTCTGTACAAATTCATCGTATACGCTGCAATACAATACGCTAAGTAAAACTGTCATCGCGATGTTACGCAACAAAATGAGAGTGTAATCTAAACATTATTATGAAGAAAACTAAAAACTCAAGAGGAGGCGCTAACAAATCGCCATTGATGATACACAAATTACCTGGCGACATTTTGCATGGACGAATGTCTCCAATAGCTACGGTAATAAAATCCTATAAATTATTCGTCGAAGTTGATCACACTAATCT